TTTTTTTTTTTTTTTTTGACGATTACGCCGTCTACCGGGAAATATAATACTGCTAGTATGATAAACCGGTAACAGGTACCAGGTAGTAATCACTTATCATTAATCACTTTATATCATTGCATGTAGGTGGACATTTCGTTGTATAAATTAAACACATACGACAGTATGGCCCTACTGAATGTTTTGGATGGGCCGGCCCAACACCGGACACATTTTAGGATGAGTCAGTTACGCCCTTAGCTACGTGCGTGCACTTGTGATAACTTGTACAGTACGTATACATTCAATGTAAGTTATTAATACTGGGCATCGCATTGGTATTAGTACAGTAGGTACAGACATTTTTGCGCGAAGCTGCAGAAAACATGATGTTGTCATTATACGAACCTATGCGTACACATTCCACAGAACGAAAATCATAATCCGTACTATTATTAAATTTATTTCGAGTTTAATATCGAGCCGAGCGCCACTGGCGCTCCGATACAAATGCACCCATTTCCCCCCCCGCCATTAACGTGGCCCTTTACGTAATAATAGTAATATGATTACGTTCGGTATAGAGCCTAGAGTAATAACGTTTTTGCACAAAAAGAAGTAACCACAAAACCGCAGCACCGACAATTAGGTTACCACCGTGTACATCGCCACCGCGCTTTGGTAAAAAATTAAATTTAATAATGATTTTGATTTTTTTCTTTTTTCTTTTTTTATATAAGCAGGTAGGTATTATAATATTGTTAAACTCGTATAGTTTAAAAATTTACAACGGTTGAAATCCTCTCGGCTGATTATTCCATTATTACCATCAACGTAGACGTAGAAATTAATTAAAATTATATAATTAATAATAATAAAAAAACGTTTGAATATCGTACGGTTTTTTTTTTTTTTTTTTACTAGCTGTCCAGTTAATGCTTTGCTATTGCTAGATTTTTTTTATCATTAGTTATTTTTTTTTCTATTTTTTTTTTGTTGCAGAATTACCCGACGTATTTTAATATTTTGTAATGTATTGTAATAGGTAAATATTGAATAAGGCATATGCGTCACGCCTTGATGTATCGTTTACTAAAAAACTAAAAAACAGAAAAAGAAGAAGTTTTGCATTGATATAAGTCTGACACTTCAAGTTTTTATTGAATCGCATTTGGATACACAATATTTTTTGTTTTTTTTCTGGTACGTATACAAATGAAACAGAAAGTTTTTGGACGCGTGAGCAGGCCACATACTACTGTCCATGTGTGAAGAAAGAATTTTCCAAATTCAGTCCACACACTTGTAGCGATTGTTCTCGTGCTTAGTTCGTGGTTATTGCAAAGGTGAATCGCACCGGAATCTGTAAATGTTTGATTTCGTATTGTATGTGAGTTCGAATCATTAGGATTTTGGCAACAGTACATATTCGCCTTTAAATTGCCCATTTAAAATTGTAGCTAATGCTGAAAAGATAATGTCCGTGTTAATATTCAGCCTGAGAACGTGCGGTGACCAAACCTGGTGAATCAAGAGAATTTAAAAATTGAGTTGGATAATTGAAAAAATCGTCTTGATTCGTTACGGTTTCGATAAACTTGTACGATGTCATTTCGCATGGAATAACGTTTTGTATGCTTGTTTGAATGGGCTCGAGCATTATGTTTTCGGGCGGTTACCAATCTTGTATTGCGTTGCTCGTTTGTTACTGAAGATTGTATTGCCTTTTTCATTCATGTTTCAGACGTACAACGACCGATATCACGTTTTTTATACATCATAACTACACAGAAATGGCGTTGGTCTTATTTATAATATTATGTTAACCGTATACGAGTATCCGTAGTGAAGTAATAATATCTATGCACTATTGATCCTAGGCTCGTTTTTTTTTAATTTACTTTAATACATATTATTGTTGTTATTATATATTTAAAACTCAGTCTCCAACATGTCTCTGAAATAAAGTTCGTGCTGCGACCGGTGGACACTTCCATTTGTTTCCTTTAATTTCTTCCAAGGCATTTGACTATCATGTCTATATCATAAAGTGTTTTGTGGATAAAATTGTATGGCCAAACAGAAATGCCTGGACATTTACAACAAGTTTTATTATAAGTATTATAATAATAGGCGGTGAAAAAAGTCAGGCGCAATGTAATTGTTTTTTTTTCATTATGAAAGTTTTATTAAAAAAACGTAAAAAAAACAATAATTAGGAAAAATGTTTGACCGAAACTCGCTCAGAATCGTATTTTTTCAGAAATGATTTATCGCCGTATACAGAAATTAATTGAATTACATTATGTTTCCTGCCTTTCCGACTCCTCACCCAAAAAAGTGGAATGTCTATCAGCAGTATCAGCTTATTATTTTTCTTTAGACTTTAATCCCATGTTTTTTCTAATTTTAAATTATAATGACACAAGAAATATGAATATTTTTTTTTTTTTTTTTTTTTTTTTTTTTTATTATTATTATTATTTAAGATAAAATAATATAATCTCGTAAAATCCCACGCGACTGAATGGATATAGTTTAATAAACTAAATATATATACTACGGTGGGTAAGTAGCGTTTTCGTTGAATTTTCTCCAAAGTTAAAAAATATTGCACTGTATTGCACGTGTCCGTTTTATATAAATACATAATCTTATTTCGAGTTACTAAATTATTAAATAAGTAAATAAAAAAAATATAGAATTTTTTCAAAAAAAAAATAAATAAATAAATACATATACATATTTTTATATTATTTTTTACGCTGATAATGCTATATTTGCTGTTTTTATTTTTTTATTTGATCCGTTAAAGTTCACAGATGTACCTAATGCGTATAAAACAAAAAATAAATAAAAGTAAATCAACCTAAACGTTGTGTAGATCGCTGTGAGCTTTGGAAAGAAAAAAACCAACGAAAAATTCGGGCATAAAGTGTTCGCAAAACGATCGAACAGTAAATATTTTTCTTACGACGTATTTTTTTTCTTTTTGCGTATCCGTTTCTTTTTTCTCTCTTCTCTATCAAGCCGAGGTTGTTTTTTTTTTCAGCCACCGCAAACCTATCCGCTGATTGTCTTCCATTAGAAATATATAGGAAAACGAAATCAACGAAATGGCCAAAATGAATATACGCTGTCCGGTTCGTCGCCAAATCGATTATCGATATTTTTATCTTTTTTTTTTTTTTTTTTTCCGTTTTTGTTTACTTTTTTTATATTGAACTAATTGTATATTTGAAGTCGTATACTATTTGTTTTTTTTTTTTTTCGTGAAACTTTGTTTCCTAAGTTTTTTTTCCTAATCCCTCCGGATATTGAATTATTTATAATTGACGATATTTGATAAGTACATAATATATCGTTACTGCGTTTTCGAACAAAAAACCTTCAATGAAACGTCCACGCGGAATAAAAAAATAATTTTTCTCCACGGTTTTTGGCCACGTTTCACGTCTCATTTGTTTCCAGAAAATAATACAAATGGTATTGCTTTGTTTTTTTTATTTTGTAACTGATTTTTCCCAGACATATACCCGAGATACGTTTATCACGAGATGGTGTATATTTTTCAAATTATTGTAATACCATCTGCGGACAAAACAAAAAAATAACATAATATGACCTTTATAGATGTTGATCCGACGTAAATCTACTCGAAATATTATCATTTGTACTTTTGGTTTCAAATGGAAATAGATATTTTTTCGAATTCTCCCAATTCCCACCCCAAAAAAGATAAAAAAATTCACTGTATATTGTATCTATTATATATTAAATAGATATATCTTTTCCCGTCTACTTTTGAATACTTCAAGCACTTTAAAAACTTGCTCCCACTAGATCAATTTAGCTTACGCTCGGGGATCGGAATATTTTCTTTTTTGACTTGTAGAATTGATCAAATTTCAGTTGAATTTTAATAGGTACGAATTTAATTATGTTTCTGCTGAACGAGGCGTTGTGTTTTTTAGCATTATGTATCCCTAAATATCGAAAAATGAAGTCACGGGATAAAATTTTTTCGAATTCAACGTGCCTTTGTATGGGTTAACTTTCAATACCCTTTTCAATCATTTTCATGCCCAAAGTTCATGTTTAATCACATAGAATACCTAATTTTTAATGTCTGCTTGTAGGTTGAATATTTTTAAAATGTTGAAAACCGATTTATCTTCGGAAAAAAATGACTATAAAAACCTTACCCATACAATCTTGAAAACCATTCCTATTTTAAATTAGTTAGAGATTAATAACCATGATGCAATAATGTCGTAACGCATAATATGCGTAATAGCGTCTTAAGAAATAACATTTTGAGACGAATATTATTATTGGAATATAATTTGAGATAGATATAAACCAAATGAGATCGTAATAGTTTATTATTAAACTTTAAATAATTCGAGACGATAGAAGTAAATTTTTTAAATTTAATAATACTGTAATTAAACCTTCATTTTTTAACGAAAGCGATGTGTAAAAGTCGGCAATTATTGTAGTTACACGTATTTTTATAATGATAATATCGTGTCAAAAAGTGACCTGTTTTTTTTTTCAATGTAGAAATTCAAAATTTCCATAACTTTTTGATTAAAAAACAGAAAAATCCATGTAAAATTGTATATGAATATTGGATTTATCATACGCACCTACGTACGAATAAATAACATTTACTATATGGTTTTATATTTATTTTGTATTTAATCGAAGTATAGCTTTATATTTATTACGGTGTACACAGATTAAAAATAACAATTAAACTTTTAATTGAAAATCTAACAAACAATTCTATAATCCAACTTTTACATTTCGTTCGACGTAAACTACAGGATGACCAAATTATCACAAACCGGCGATTTTCTCGAATGATTTTAAATCAAGTAGATTTATGTTTTTTTTTTTTTTTTTTTTATATGTATGGAATAGTTTAAGCTTTATTTTAACAATACTTTAAATGTTTCACTCTTACTCCTTGTGCTTTAAACGAGTATACATTTTGATTGATTGAACGGCAATGATCTTTTTTGAACACAGATTCAAATACAAGATATTTGTATAGAGATTTGGACAGTCGCAATACTGATATAAGACTTACGGATGTTTACGGGTCATAACAGTATTTTAAACCGAATAAGGTATAAGGAGAGGAATAATAAATCGCATATCTATTTTTATATGATAATTTCATAACCGTTCCCTTTTGCTCCGGTCTAATCATTAAACCATAACTGTAACTGTGTATAGTATTGCTATTCGCGTATCCAAAACTAGACCGTGTTTAATAAAAAATAAAAAATTTAGAACTAAATTCGTTCAGTGACGAAAAACGGAAAAATCGCCGGTTTACGATTAGTCGATCGTTCTTTATAGATACGCAAATAGAATGTCCGGTTCGAAATAACGATAATGTTAACGAACGCGTAAATATCATAGCGTCAGTGTCAGCGTGGAATCATTATATTATATTATTTAACGCTGTACACTGTATAGGTACGAGTTTAATTCGTTGTATTATTCAAACGTAGACGGACGACGGCGCTTCGTCCAAACTGTTCGCAACAATAATAATAACGATAATATTCAACGGAGCTTAATAATGTTTAACTGCCAAACTAATTGGATCGGAGTATCATGATAATGTATTCGAGTACAATATCGTCTCGTGACCTTTGTTCGAAGTTTTTTCGTTTTTTTTTGTTTTTTTTTTGTTTTTTTTTCTTCAAATATAATTCTAACTTACTCAATTATTACGTTTATTATTTAATTATTGTTATGCTCTCGTTTTCTATAAATTGCAGTACAACAGCGTCTACGTTCCTAGCTATACGCGTCTCGCAGTCGCCGTTCTTCTCGATTGTGTATCGGGTTTTAATTGAGCGGAAAACTATATCACAACTTGCTATACCGGGTGATTCGTTTAAGTTAGTACACTCATTGTCTCGGAAAATATACATTTTATTCGGAATTTGTTTTCTAGGACATTTAGGAAACGAGCAGCTCTCCGATTTCGTATTTACGTTAATTTTTGTCACCCTTGTTTTAAGGGGTAAAACCACCAACTACTTTTTAATTTCAAATGACAAACTCTGTTAAAAACTCCATACATAAACGAGGTATCATTTGAAATAAATCGTAGTGTTAATACGTTTGGTTTCTGTAAAGTCGTTGGCGAGATATTCCACTGTTTATTTTAGATAAAAGGATAGTAGTGGAGCATTATAAACACGCGCACCGTACCGCCAAACAAATGATATTTCACTATTCTCCTCTAACCCGAACATAATAGTGGAAGATCTCGTCAACGGATTGACGGAAACCACAACTGTCTATACTGAAATTTATTATAATTTATACTCCATCTATTTATAGTTTTTTAATATAGGTTGTCGTTTGAAAAATCATAAGCAGATTGGTATTTTACCCCCAAAAAGAAGGATGATAAAAAAATAATGTAAATATACTATTTTAAAGTAGTTTGTTTCTTAAATATTCTAGAAAACGGATTCCGGAAAAAGTTAACGCTTTCCGAGATAATGAGTGTATCCACTTAAATGGATCACCTGGTATATACATATTCAATTTACTAGAAATTATCGTTTTTGTAACTATGTAAGTTACAAAAAAAAAAAAGTAGTACGAAATATACATAGACACCTACAGTTATCAAAACGACAGATTCGGAACACAGTATTGGTTTTACTATGGTGGTTTTTTTTTCTTCAACGATGATTTAATTTTTTACCACAGGTAATAATGTAGAATATGAGGTATATTTTCGAAAGATAAACAAATACACTTGCGGTAATAAACATTTAATTTTGCTTTTTGAAAATAATAATTTTCAACTGTGGTAATAATTTAAAAAAAATTCCTTGTATAAAATTTCAAGAATCCCTAGTGTGTTTTTTCTCCAACCTCTGACAGCAGAGTCGAACGAAATTATATTCGGACCACCACGTCGCCACGGCGTTAATGTATTCCGGGTCACGATTGTCGGCGTGCCCTTACCCTGACCTACCCCGTCATCAACCTCGGGTCTCCACGACCCGTCATTCTTAGTGAAATTGCACCCTAATAGATATGATCCTCGGTCGATTAAGCCCAGACTACTTCACCTCGTAGACTCACTACTTCGCACTTCATGGAATCGTCTCTATGACAATAGCAAGAATTCAAAAATAAATAAATAAATGAAATTACCTTCAAACAATTATGAGATATATTTTAAAGAACATCAAAATTGATAATTGTATAAAAATGCAATAGTGAAAAGTGCCGAAAGATTTTCATTAGATGATGATATCCTATTATAATGTTTCACTCTAAAACTGATAAAAAATTTTGTTCTTTTGTGACCTTAGAGCTTAAAAGAGAACAGAAATTTCAAAATTTAGGAATATTGATGAAAATTTAAATTGTATGAGAAGCGTTGGAATATTAAAGCAGGACGATTTTCTAAACTTCGAAGAAAATTTAGATTGATATAAATTGCATATTAAATATACAAATACATTAACTTATTTGTTCTTATTATTGGTTGTTGGTTACGTAAATAAGTTGACACCGTTTTTGAAATATAAAAATAATAACGAGTTTTTTTTAGAATTTTTTTTTTCTTGCAATGATTTATCGTTGCTTACACTGCGAATATGAAACTAAATACATTTTGCTAACGCCTATATTCTCAATTTTCTACACAAAACAATAATCCAACCACGGTGCGGAATTTAATTATTTTCAAATTTGAATTGCTGCAAATACCATAGATTTGGTAAACACCGATGATATGATAATTACCGCTATACCGATAATACCGGTAATTATTATCTATACCAAAAGTTCGGTATATCGTTTATAAACGGTTAACTATAAATACTGATTGTAAATTTACGAAAGTAATTGTTTTATTATTTTAAATTCAATTTTTTATAATGCAATTCAGTTAACGATATTCGTAGAGACTTGACATTTTGACAAAAAACTTATATTTGCTTTCTCTAGGCGTGGTACAATGTTCAAAACATGTAAACTTTACGTAAGCTACGCAATATATAGACATTTTAATTTTGCTATTTTTTTTTAAAGTAATTATTATATGGTAGGCACTCTGTAAATAAAATTGATAGAATAAATAGAAATGCTTGAAAATTTAACCGGAAGTTTATTACAAGTCGTACTTATAAGTGAAAAAAAAATTTAGTATTAACTTCGCTCCGAATCGTTTTTCGATGGCAACGGCGCATCGTTGGTTACGGGTCTAAATTAAATAACTTCATGTATCCCGCCCGACCAACTACCCGCCTACAAAAGTGGCCACGGAATCAGTCTCCGTTCTCTCGATATTATGTTTGTTTTCCCTCGGTTATGCGGCGCCGTCGTAAATTGTTATCTCTTTCGGCCACCGTTACCGCTATAGCAGTACGCGGACGATGGCGTGTATGACGGTCGTGTATCGGTTGAAAAAAAAAGAGTGGAAAACGATCATCTTCGTCGACGGGGTTTATCGGTAGGTTCCGGCCGCGTCGTCGGCACGGCGGTGGCGAGCGAACGCACGTAGGTAGTAGTAATAAATAATTTCGCACGCACACTCTTGTGATTTATAATATCCGAGCTCGAATAAACGTCTCGGAGGTGCCCGGCCCGGAGGGCAAAAATCACTTTTTCAATACGGAAACCGCCGCCGAAAGTTCAACAGGTACGATTACACCGGCTCTCGCCCGGGCTCTCGGTTATAATACGTTCAGACGGTTGTGTACGCATAGATCCTCAACAAAAACAACCGGACGGATCGACCCGAGTGGCGGCCGTCCGCATCAAAATGTAAAGCCGCCGTCGGTATTTGCAGCCGGACCACTGCACCGATGCGATAACAGTTTACCGAAGGAAATACTATGTTCGCTACATACGTCCAATTATAATGATAACATGCAATACACAAATGAACTAGTGCCTACCCGAAGTCGTTACGCGAGTTGGGGGAGCCGACGGTTCTTCGAATATTCGAATACTCCGTAAAATTCGACGAACGTCGAAAAAACTTTTATTTTTTTTTTTTTTTTATTTTCAACTATTTCAATGATGATTAAATCCGTTAATTACCATGCCGTTCGTTTGGGTACTACTATCGGTCATTTAAAGGG